GCACGCCTCATGATAAAATCACATTAGGCATACACCTCAGAGGTATCAGCGCCTCTGGCATACACCTTAGGGCGATTTGGGAGCACCTCGCCTGGAGGCGCCTCCAGGTGTATGCCTCCCAAGCCTTTTAAAACACTGGTTCTACCAGATGGAGTGAGGACTAAGACTTAGATCAGACAATGCTAGAGAATATTTTGGGAAGGATTTGGCTACATAGTTTTTAGAGCATGGGGTGATTTACCGAAGTAGCTGTGCTTATACACTGTAGCAGAGAGGAAAAATAAACACATTATGGAGGTGACAAGAATTTTTATGGTGTGTGCCTTGGTTCCTATTCAGTTTTGGGGAGATGTAGTTCTCACGGCTGTGTTTTTTATCAACCGTGTTCCTTCACGCATCTTGGGGTTCAAGGAGCCATTCAGCCTTTTATTTCCAAATGAGGAGATATTTCATATACCTTTGAGAGTTTTTTACTGTGTTTGTTTTGTTTACATTCTTGGTCCTCATCGTAGGAAGATGGATCCTAAGGCTAAGAAAGTAGTATTTTAAAAGGTGTGGTAGGCGTACGCCTAGAGGCAGGCAAGGCGCCCCCAAAATGCCCTAAAGCATATGCCAGAGGTGCTAACACCTTTGAGGCATACGCCTCATATGCTTTTTTCATGAGGCATGCTAGAGGCATACGCATCATGCACACCTCATGTATAAAGACAAAAAAAAAGGAAAAAGAAAGAAAAAAGGAAAGGAAAGGGAAGGAGGAGAAAAAAAAAAGAAATAAAAGAAATAAAAGAAAAGGAAGGGAAGGGAAGGGGAAAGAAAGTGGGCCAAGGATAATCCCCTAGACCCCTTGGGTGGGGGGCTTCGCCCCCAGCCCCCTCTTTTGATTATTTCTATGCATCTTCATTTTTCTTAATATAAAAGATTTTTATTAAAAATAAAGAAAATGAGATTTTTCTTCCTCTTCTTCCTCCTCATCCCCCCTCCTCTTAAGGAGGCTTACGCCTCCTTGTGTTCGGGAGGCTTACGTCTCTTACGTTCTAAACTACGCCTCACACTTCTAGGCAGTGGAACACCTCGCTTCACACCTCTGTGTTTTAAAACATTGCTTAAAACAAAAACACAATTCAAGAACATGTTTCAAATATTTATTTATTTATTTATTTACTTTTTTTGCAAACATGATGGTTTCAAAAACAAATGAAAACAAAAGCATCCATGTTGCAGAACACCACCTAGGGTGTCTTCTCCAATGCAAATTATTTTATGTGTGTTCAAAAAATCAAAACCATCTAGCTTGAAAACAAATTGGTTCTTAAAACAAAGTCACAGGAACCAAGTTCTTGGTTGTATATGTATCTTTTTTATTTTCAAAACTGAAACCAAAAATGGTTATAGATAAATAATATTACTAGAGAATTATTGCTTTAATTGCAACATGGTTTTGGAGATTCAGTTCACAGCCCCATCACTTATGGAGACAAATACTAGCAGAAAATTTTGGATTAGGAATATCAATTGGGATCCAGGTATTGTGGAAGGTCCTTATGGCTGCTCAATTTGGAGAGGACTTAGGAAGTCTCAAAGTAATTTTATTCAAGGTATCTAGCTGAAAGTAAGGGAGGGAGACAAAATTAAATTCTGGAAAGATGAATGGTGTGAAGGCCAAGCTTTGATGGAGAGATTCCCTTCCCTATATATCCTTGCAGAAAATAGGGAAGCAAAAGTAAATGACTCATATAAGTGCCAAAAGGGGGTTGTTTCCTGGTGTCCTACTCTAAGGAGTCTGAATGATTGGGAAATAGAGGAGATGGTTTCATTACTCAGCTTGTTTAATAGAACCTATCCGAAACCAGATCAAGAAGATTCAAGAAGTTGGAAATGAGAGAAATCAGGGATCTCTGTCAAATCCATGTATTAGTTGATTAACAATGATAATTCTGCCTAAAGGAAAAGAAGAGAAGAGCTCTGGTTCACAACATAATTAGACATCAGAAGCCTGATGCAGTCCTCTTGCAGGAAACAAAGTTGGAGGCTTTTGATATAAATGTGATGAATGAGATTTGGGGGAAGGATGGAGGAGAATGGGTGGAGTTGAAAGCAATTGGGTTGGCGGGAGGTTTAGTCATCCTATGGGATCCAGGGGTTTTTAAAAGAAATTGGGGAGTGGGCAGATATTCGGTATCAGTATGCTTGCAGGAGACAAATGGAGAGTGGACTTGGGGACTAACGAATGTGTATGGGCCAAATGAGGAAGGGGAGAGAGTGGAGTTTTGGGAGGAGTTAAGAAGGGTAAGACAGGGTCGGTGGGGGGAGTCCATGGTGTTTGGGATGGGATTTCAACATTGTCAAGAGGAGGAATGAGATGAAAGGGGGAAGAGAGAGAAGGTTCAGTATGGGAATGAGGAGATTTGAGGATTTGAGAATGGTAAGGCAGAGCTGGGTGAAGGAAAGGAAAGAAGTACTGAAGAGATTGTGGCTTCAGTTGGCAAACTCATCACAAGTTGGATCATTTCTCTTCCAGAATTTGAGCAAATCTGACTTTCGGACTTTGCTGATAATTTTGGGGACTTGTTAGAGATCCAATCTTGTAATGTGAATCAGTTCATCTGAACTGAAGTTTGATGTATGCTTGCTTTGATTTAGGGTGTCATCTTGACACCTGAACAGCTTGTATCTGTTTTTCGTTTTAATAAAATCTTTACTCTTGTTCTTCAAAAAAAAAAAATCAGGCTTCTCCAAGTTTGGTTATCTCATATTCCCTCCAAAGTGGCTTTCCCATTGTGGTTGATGGTGCTTGATATGCCTCACCAAGAGACAAATTGATGAGAATAATATATATACCATCAGAAACTTGTGTACTCTGTGGGAGAGATAGAGAAACTTCCAATCATCTATTCTTGCAATTTACAGTGGTGATTCAGATCTACTCATATTTCTGTAATTTGTTAATCTTCCCATGGTTTCAAATGTCGCCAAATGTCGCAAATGTCGCCTGACATATGTCGATGTCGAGGCTCACCGACATGAAAATGGATGGTAATATAAAAATTACATTATGTCGGTCGACATTTCCTATATTTCGGAAATGTCGACCAAATCGGTCCAAATAACCAAAAAAATACAGTTTTTCCTATTATGTCGACAGGATGTCGACTAATGTACATTAAAAATATAATATATTAGTATATTATAATAATATAATACAGTATATTAATATAGATTATTCCATTAATGATTTCTATTTAATATTTCAAAAAACAAAATATAAAAACATAAAATATAAAACAAAAGAATAAATTAATTACTTTATAATATAAAACATAAAATATTTTTCAAGTAATAAAACTAGTTAGTATTTTTTAAATATTTATTAAAATCAGAAAATGTTTATTAAATTTTATAATAAACCATATTCTACATTTAATATAAAAAATCAGAATAAATTTAATAAATTTTATACTAAATCATAATTTATTATAAATTTAGTATTAAAAATCATATTAAATTCATTAAGTTTTATAAGAAATCAGAATTTATCATAATCTTAATACTACAAAAATGAGAATCAGTTTATTAAATTTATAATAAAACATAATGCATTATAACTTTAATATTTAAAAAATCAGAATAAATGTATTTCTATTTACTAGTGTGAAATAAATACATTAGAATTTATAATAAATCAGAATTAAAAATAAGAAAAGAAAATATCAGATAACCTTGTAAAAACATCAAAATGCATAATAAATCAGTAAATCGTCATTTACTAATTTGTTATTGATCTTAGTTTCTTAGCTTTATATAATGGTTGGGAATAAGATAATAGTCTAGAAATATGTATTAAAGCTTCTTTTATCATTTTACAAAATATCTTTGCATATTTCCACATATTTCATAATATTTCTACAATGTCTCTAATTTTTACAATATTTCCCCTCGACATTTCTGACATATATCCTATATTTTGGTAAGCGACATTTCCATCAACATTGACATTTTAAACCTTGAATCTTCCTTGGTGTTTGCCAGAAAGGTTCTCAGACCACTTGTGCTCCTGAAACCGAAAGGACTAAATGAAAAGGGAAGAAAACTTAGGATCACTATTCCTGCTACAGTATCATGGTGTATATGGAAGAAGAGGAACCAAAGTTGTTCAGTGGATGAAATTAATCAAGCAGATAATGGGTTCCATCCATTAACAGCTGGCAGCAACAGATCAATTTAGTAACATTTCCTATCAAAGCTATTTTGACCCTGCCACTATATATGTAGATATTCTTTTTTGTAATTCAGGCAGGACAGGTGAAGAATGAACATACTTTGTATAGTTGATTTCTGTACGATGATCATACATGTACATGCTTACTTACTCTGAATGAACACAATACTTTGNGACAGGTGAAGAATGAACATACTTTGTATAGTTGATTTCTGTACGATGATCATACATGTACATGCTTACTTACTCTGAATGAACACAATACTTTGAAAGTAACAAAAAGAAAAAAAAAAAAAAAAAAAGAAAGAAAGGAAAAAGAAGAAAAAAACTGAACCAAAAAAGCATTTCATGAAATTTTGTTTTAAAGAACAAGTTTTCATCAGTGATTTGATATCATGTCTCATAAACCAAAAATAATTTGAAATCCAAAAATTTGTTTCTTTTTCTTTTCCAACCCAAAATTTACTCCCAGTGGAGGGGTGGCCATCGTTAGATTTTATTCATGATAGTAAAAGAATCTATGAGGGGGGGGGGGTACATAAAAACCATACCCTCTAAAGAATCTGTACAAAATGGCTTGCAGCTCATAAAATTTGTTTGTCAAACCATTTACTTTTTGCTTCTAATAACAAAAGGAGAAAAAAAACACTTCGAAAACATCTTGCAGTTTTTTCTTTTCTTTTTTTTTTTTTTGCTAATATGGCAATTTTCTTTTCTTTCCTTTTTTGTTGATGTAGATAACAGTTTCAGAAGTTATAAGATTAAGATCACCATCCTAACATACCTAAGGAGGAATTCAAGTCTGTACTGTCTCAATTTTGGATTGCATAATGCATCTATGGCAATGATCCTCGTTTTTCGTCTACCCATGAGATCTGTTGGCTTTCTATCCTGATAGTCACCAGAAAAACGGAAGGACGAGGCATACCTAGACACATCAAGGATAATCACATAAGCAACTATCGTGTACAAATTGCATAGTCCAAAATGATAATTGTCTAGCTGTTGATAAAGTAGAACAGAACTACCACATAACAAATAAATAAACAAACCAAAATTTGCATTTGAGAACTACAGCAGTCTCATATCACTACAAATAAGAACTTTAGCTTCAGGCTTTATAGCACAAAACTTCAAAACATTATGGAGGTTGGTTTTTATCCTACATGAATTTAAGGTTATTTATTATAAAACACAGTGCAAAGGGAAATAATTATCACAAGGCACATAACCCTGAACCCCAATAATAGACCAGATCAAATTTGATGCCAGAGATGGGCTAATAGTTAAATGAAATGAATCCTAAATATCACAAACAAAGAAAGCAATACCATTGTACCATGTGTAGGAAATGAAAGAAAAACATGTGATGAATATAGATGTAATTAAAGTCTGTATTTATTAAATTTTCTTTCTATTACCTATTAAAAAACATAAAGAGATTTACCTTTTAATGTTTTTAAAGGTACAGGTAAGACCTTAGATGATAATGGCATAATGCTTAAGGTACTATATCAAAATCATAATTAAGCTTTTTCAGGGCATGCCCCAACATTCTTAACTGAACTGGACCATATCAGGGAACTCTGGAAGGGGCCATGGATAACAAACCAAAGGGTGAAACTTCTGTTTACAAGTCTAAAGAATTTTTTTTTTTTTTTGATAAATCAAGTCTAAAGAATTGACTACTGAAGATTCATGTATGACATCAGTAATGGTTTATGAAGAGGCTGAAATCTGTTACTCTGTAGAGATGATGGGCCGACAAGTAGTTCCTAGTCTGTCTTTTATTTGTGTTAGTTGGCCTTCACATATGGGCCTGTTAACTCCGTTTATTTTATTTTTATTGAGTTGCAGCCCCATTAAGGGCATCTGTGTAATTCCCCATTCATTATTATTTAATTTAATAAAAGTGTCAACTAGGGGATTGGAGAGAGATACGATTCACTCTTCTCCTCCCTTCTCTAAAACCTTCTTCTTCCTATGGCTCTGAACTTCCTCTTTACTTTCTGTAATATTTCCCTTAACTAAATGCACCCTTTTATTGTTGTTTTTATTTTTTTTATTGGCATCACAGCACCTCCATTCTTTTTCTTCCTTTTTTGATTTAATTGAAGAGTGAAAGGAGAGTTATATTGCTGAATGCTTATGCTTGCTGTAGCCTAGTTGGTAGAGGGTTTTGGAGACTTTACAGTCAGATTTGGAAGCCCAAGAAGATACTTGGAGATTCTGCCCAAGAACCCTAAAACCCTAGCCAACTAGAGAAGGAACCAGGAAAAGGGTCACGGGGACTGTTTTAGGCTAGTGCTCAAGACTTGGTAGATCTTATTTGGGATTAGATTGAGATCGATCCTATTGGAATGGTTTCCAAATCCTCTGGTAGGAGTGGCAGCAGTTTTCCCTTTTTTCCTAGGTTGCAGGGTTGTGTGAAACCCTAGAACTAGCCTTTTGATTGATTGAAGGTCAGTGCTTTGTGTTTTGTTCATCTTCGTTTGACAACAGAGTACTATTTACTGAAGTTTTAGATCAATGAAACAATTTTAAGTAGAGACAAAGAAAATCACAGAGTCCGAGGTTGGTCCAATAGGATTTGTAATCTGTTGAGTGCTATGACTACAATTAAGTTAGATGCGGCCAACTATCTGGCTTGGTCACAATCAGTAAGAATACATGTTTGTAGTAGAGGAAAGTTGAACTATCTCACAAGCAATAAGAAGAAGCCACAGGAGACTAATCCTACTTATGAAAAAAGGATGTGGGACAATTACATTGTTATTGGGTGGTTGGTGAAGTCTATGCAACACTAATCCTACTTATGAAAAATGGATGTGGGAGAATTACACTGTTATTGAGTGGTTGGTGAAGTCTATTAAACCTCACTTTAGTCAGCATTATTTATGGATGGATTCAACTAAGGAAATATGGGGCAATGTAATCCCGGGAATGAATTCCACTTTCATAGCTTTCGTCCCTAAGAAAATTGGTGCTGCTCACCCTAAGGATTTCTGACCTATCAGTCTAGTTACGAGCAATTACAAGATAATTGCTAAGGTAATGTCTCTTAGAGTGAAGAAGGTCACCCCCCCCCCTATCTCTAAGTTCCAGGGGCTTTTGTTCAAGATAGGCAAACTGTGGATCAAATTTTAATTGCTAATGAGTACATTGAGGCCCAAAAGAGATTAGAGAAGAAAGGAGTAGTGGTTAAACTAGAAGTGGAGAAAGCCTATGATCTTGTGGATTGCGAGTTCTTAATACCATGATAAGTTGTGCCTTTGGGGAGCTGTGGTGTAAATGGACTAGAGGTTGCTTACAATCTAGCCACTACTCAATTCTTGTCAATGGCTCGGTGGTTGCTTTTTTCAAAGGGTTTCGAGGTCTTTGACAAGGTGATCCACTTTCACCCTTCCTGTTTACTTTGGTAGCTGAGGTTCTTAGTAAGTTGATCTCTAGAGCTAATGGTATGCCATTGATTAATGGCTGGTCAGTTTGGAGGAATGGATTTCAGGTAAGTCATCTATAATTTGTGGATGGTATCTTAGTTTTTTTGTGATGGGGACTTAGAGTGGGGGTGGAGAATTTGAAGTTGGTAGTGAATCTCTTTGAGAGGGCCTCCAATTTGAAGATTAACTGGGGTAAAAGTTTATTGGTTGGCATTAATGTACAGGAAGATGTTTTGGGGGATTTGGTAGGCTATTTCGGGTGTGAGAAAGGAAACTGGCCGATCAAGTATCTAGGGTTACCCCTTGGTGACAACCCTAATTCTTTGATGTTTTGGACTCCAGTAATGGAAAGGTTTGAGAAGAGATTAGTTGGGTGGAAGAGAAATTGCATTTCTCTAGGTGGGAGCAGTGATTTAAAAGGCGCGCCTAAGCTCACAGGCGAGGCGCATTTTAGGGTAGGCACCTCCCCCAGGTCCTAGGCTCAGTCCTTTCAAAATGTGCACGACCGGTGTGCCTAGGTGTGTGCCCAATGCACCTTGCGCCTCAGCCCAGGTGTGTGCCCAATGCACCTTGCGCCTCAGCCCAGATGTGTGCCTTGTGAAAGTTTGTCGCTTTTTTGCTTTTTCTGAACCTAGCGGCTGGGTTATGGCCTCCGCCCCTGGACCCCCGTGCAACGCCCCTCGAGGCAAGCCCAAACAAGTCCATGTTAGGGTCCTAAATTCTTAGCTCTCACACAAAAAATAATGATTTTATAATTTTAATTGCTTTTTAAGAAGATATTTTAGTAGGATAGATGAACGAACAACATTACCAAATAGGTTAGGACCCTAACATGGACTTGTTTGGTCTTGCCTCGAGGGGAGTGGCACAAAGGCGGCTCGTAGAATCAGGAATTTAATATGTTTTACATCACATTAGCTAATTTAAGTAATGCAATTGAGGAAAAAAGAGATTGTGGGTTTTACATTCCTGAAAATGTTTTTTTATATGTTTGATTTTTATTTTTAAATTCACATTTGAATATGCTTTACATGTTATGTTTATGTATTTTTTATTAATATTATGTTTAATATCTTATTTGAATATGCTTTAGAATTTTTTATTTTTCTGATAGTTTTTTGAACTTTTAGCTTTTTTTTATTTTTACGCCTTGCTTCAAAAAGGCACGCACCTCACCTTGTGCCTTGCACCTCAAGCACAAATTGACCCCTGCACCTTGCGCTTTTAAAACACTAGGTGGGAGAATAACTTTGATCAAATCTACCTTAGCTAATCTTCCTATCTACTATATGTTGGATTTTAGAATGCCCCAAATTGTTGTGAGAAAATTGGAAAAGATTAGGAGAGATTTTTTTGTGGCAACACAGGCAAGGCAAGAAAGACCATTTTCTGAGTTAGGAGAAGGTGATGAAGCTAAAGGCGAAAGGGGGGTTGGGAATTGGGAATATTAGAATGAATTTTTTTTCTCTTTGTTGAGCAAATGGCTATGGAGATTCCCATTGGAAAGTGAAAGGCTTTGGCACAAAGTGCTAGCAAGTATTCATGGGCTGTCAAGTAATGGATGGGATGTTGGTTGTCTTCACAGAGCTACTTTTATGTTCTTTCCAATCTCAAGGGTAAACCTATGTTTGAGTTCATTTGCCCCCCTCCTCCTTCTGGTTTAAATCGGAATTTGGCCCTCACTAGGAACCTTAGAGAGTGAAATCCCCTTTGTGTCTGCTTTGCTTACCTTGCTAAATCTTGTGGTTCTTGGGGAGGGGGGCGTTGATAGTAGGGTGTGGACCCTCATATGGGTTAGGACCTTCACTTGTAAGTCTTTGTTTAACTCCCTTGTTTCATCCTTACCTTCACTTGTAACTTTCATTAATAAAAAGAATTAAATACAGGAGAAAGGAAATAAAATCTCTTAACTCTCCAACCTTTAGACAAACAGAAAAACAATTAAAACAAGATTACAAGTGAGCCCAAAACCTAGAGTCTCTAGTCACCCCTTGTTTGGCTAGCCCATCAGCAAAGGAGTTAGCACTTCTTTTTACTCAATTCAGTTTGACTTAGTATCCTTAGTCAGCCACTTAAATTTCCTCTTCTCATTGCTATGGTTCCAAAAGCTAGCATTATCTTCTTTTAGCCAGCCCACTACCAATTTAGAATCCCCCTCTATAACCAATTTAGTGATGTTCGGCTAATTAGCCCTTTGAGTTCCTTCTAAGACAGCTGAGATCTCAGCCCGAAGAGCATCACCCACTAGAATTGTCCCCGAAAACATAGCTAATACCCTACCCTCCTCATTTCTTACAACACCCCTAATACCTAAAGGACCTGGATTTCCAATGCTACTTCCATCAAAGTTTAATTTGAAGAAACCAATGGGAGGAGTCCAAGAAGATAGGGAGGTGTCCTTAGCTGGAGATGAACTTGCAATTTCCTTCCAATTTCTGACCAAATCCACCGCTGTAAAGTCTTTAAACAGGTTCAAAGACTTTCGGAC